TGCTGCAGGACCATCTTTCTATCATAATGGTATTATGGTAATTTAATGCATACATACAGTGCATTTTACCACAGAAACCGTATTCCATGTTTAGGACTATGTGTCAGGGCTGCGGGACCATCTTCCTATCATAATGTCATTATGGCAATTTAATGCATACATACAGTGAATTTTACCACAGAAACCGTATTCCATGTTTAGGACTATGTGTCAGGGCTGCGGGACCATCTTTCTATCATAATGGTATTATGGCAATTTAATGCATACATACAGTGAATTTTACCACAGAAACCATAATCCATGTTTGGGACTATGTGACAGGGCTGTGTGACCATCTTCCTATCATAATGGTAATATGGTAATTTAATACATACATACAGTGCATTTTACCACAGAAACCATATTCCATGTTTGGGACTATGTGACAGGGCTGTGTGACCATCTTCCTATCATAATGGCATTATTGCAATTTAACGCACTGTGGGCCTTAATCATTTGTTAGTTCACTTATCCTGCTGTCGAGTCTTCAGTTTGTCACCCTCACCCAGCGTAGGAGTTGCCATTTTTCGTGTTCGGCTAAAGGTAACATTTGAACTTGATGTATATATCGATCATGAATCCGGCGCTACAATCGCTATGCAACCGGGAACCGAGAAGAACCAATTCATACTTGCGTCTGTTACACCATCTCGGAGTATGGAGTCCGGGTATAGAGTGCAAAGGAGAGGTGAGGATATCATATCTTCATATTCAAGACTATGCAAATAGTATGTGTGAGATACAATGATCCGACCACGTGTTCTTAAGGGACTGGCCATTAGAAAACTCTGGGAGGGTGAATCTAAGAAAAACTGCAAATCAAGATGATGTTACTGTGAAATAAATATCGTTGCTTCTATAAACTATTTTTCGTTCCCATTATACATTTTTTTTTTTTTTTTTTTTTTATAATTTACACTTCGTAGTATATTTTTTTTTCTCTCTATATATATAAGTGTTTTTCCCAAAAAATCAACCCTAAAGATAATGTCTGACATTGAAATATTGAATTAAGTAGAGGGAAATAACGGAGAAACTCGACTCTTTTTGTGTGTTTAATTTAATACCCCCCGAATGTTGGAATCCTGTAATTCAGCCATTCAGAGTACGTTCAAGAATGATCCGGTGAATCGCTATGTAGCGTTTTTGACTTCAACACATTACGCATGCGCAGACTTGTGCTCGATCGTGTGTGTAAGTCATGCCCACAAGTAGTTTAGACCGATTAACTGGTCTCTATACCAAAGACTATAGTCTTTGATTATACGTAGTCTCACAATCAACTAGTCTTGAATGATGGTAAAACGCGCGACAATTGATCACCTCCTTGTTCCGTTTTTCATCCGTGAACGATGATGGTACCAGGACATCACGTCTCCTTGACAAAGGCGGTGTCACCGCAATAAATCTCTGACAAGCTCAACAAAACGTCAGATCTCAGACAACAGGCGACTAACAATACATTGTAGATATGCAATATGGACGAACACGTGCGCTTTTTCACCAAATTGGAATATGATTATATACAGTAAACAAAATTGTCTTTACAACACTTTAGTATTCATTTGTTAAAAAATGAAAGACATTTTACGTACCAAAATAAAAAAAAACTAGCGCATAGCGAATAGAGTTATGCACATAACTAAACGATCGGCGATCAAGTTAAGTCATCATCCAATATATTCATCAATAGTATGGATCAAACAATATTGAAAAAAAATGACATATATCATCTTATATTTGTATTTGATGACATCGCATATTTACATGCATACCATTATTAATAATAAACTAGACAACATGCGCATGCGTTTGGAATTTCTGGTACGCACTATATATAAGATACTGAAATATATTCACACGTGATATGATGGTTCAATGGCACGCCTTATATGGTTATTTACTGTTTTAGTGAACCAATGTAGTCCTACCAATATGTTCACGTGGTCGTATATGAATTACCACGTGCTTAAATATGTCACGAACGAAGGAGGAGTTACTCTATAAGTGGTGAAGCGCATGCGAACCTTTACTTGGAATTTCCTGGCTGAATACGGGTTAATTTAATGAGAAATAAAACAATTCTTAACGAGGACTTAAAGTTCCACTAAACAGTAGGCTTTATACAGCCCAAGATGCAAAACTTGACTAAAAATCATGGCATTCGGGAGTGATTGTGAAGTCTTTTAGTTGGTTTTGTGGTAAATGTGGCCATACGAAGAAAATTAGACTGGCACAGTCTGGGCGGTTTATTTCTTTTTTAATTTAAAATTAAATAAAAATCAAAGAAAGCTTAGAAAGAACTCCCATGTGCTGAGAGTATTGGAGACACATTAAATATAATTCGAAATTACTTAGCTGAAAACTAATTATGCAAATCAGAAAATTAATATGACCAGATTTGAGTGTAAAACTAATGAGGTCTGCGCAATGTAACAGAAAATCTATGTCTCCAAGTTTAATTGAAATGTGATTAGAACCAAAAAATTATGAATTATTATGCTTATTAGGGAATTAATATGAACAGATTTTTACCCCAAACTAATTAGGTTTGTACATTGTCCTAGAGCATCTTTGTACTAAGTTTCATTGAAATGGAATAATTAGTACCGTGAAAACTCCAAAATTTCGACCCCTCTAAAAATTCGATTGGCTATTTATTTGCCGGGTTTCGGTGTTTTATTTACCTCCAAATTTTCGACTCCACTAAAAATTGCCGACTCATTCTTATTCGAAAATTGCGACCAGTTTTAGTTTTCCCCCAAACGAAAAAAAAAAAC